TATATATATATATATATATATATATATATATATATATAGAAATGATCTCCTAAGCACCGATAATGTGTCAAAATGAATATATACACAATCAAATCGGATCCCATTATATTTAGCTTTGAGAAACTCCAAACCGTTTTAAATTGTTGGTTTAGGTTTTGATTTTCCTCTAACCATTTTAAACCTGTCAAAAACCAGCCAAACCGGACCACTTACACACTCCTACACTGTAACAGAAATCAAATACATATATATAAAAATAAATTTTAAGTAAATGCCTTGAAAAAGTTTGTTCTTCTATTTTAATTGCATTTTTGGCATGTAACATTCAATTTTTTAAATTTACATATCTTGCTCTACAGAAGAGGAGGAGATCACAAAATTTAAAGGACCCGAAAAACTGTTGACACGGGAAGATATAAATAAAATGAAGTATGCTCGCAACGTCGTGAATGAAGTACTGAGGCTAGCACCACCTGTTCACGGATTTTTTAGAGAGGCCATACAAGATATTACTTATGCAGGCTTCACCATTCCTAAGGGATGGAAGGCATGTTTCTTCCTTAATTTGTGTGTTAGAGCACCCCCATGCCATACACACGCGCACGCAAATAAGCATGTTTGGCGGAGCTTAAAATTAGTTCTAAGTTACCTTTTCTTCAAGAATGTTTGATAAGTTACCTTTTTGGCACAAAAAACTTATTTTGCAGAAAGTGCCAAGAAATTTGACTGGGGTTAAAGTTAATTTTCTAGAGATTAAATTTAAAATTTATTTTATAGAAAAATAAATTTTATTTGCTAAGTGTTTCAATATATATGTGCTAATGTTTCATACATAGTTTTTTGCAGGTATATTGGTCAGTGAGTTCAACTCATAAGGATCCCAAATACTTCCCGAGTCCAGAAAAGTTTGATCCTACAAGATTCGAAGGTAACGGACCTGAGCCATTTACTTTTATTCCCTTTGGAGGAGGTCCAAGAATGTGTCCTGGTAATGAATATGCACGCCAACTGCTACTAGTTTTCATGTACCATTCGGTAAGAAAATATAGGTGGGAAAAGCTTATTCCAAACGAAAAGATCAATTTTGATTATGGGCCAGCTGCTCCTGTAAATGGTCTCCCAATCAAGCTTTATCCACACAGTGATATCAAGCAGTAACAAGAAAGTCTGCCGAATCTTGTTTTTTGAGTTGTTGAACTCGTAGTTTCCTAAGTTGATACTGTGCACCTTTAACTGGAGATTAGCTTGTGCTCCCTCCTTAAACCATGTTTTTCTTATCTTGTTTTAATAAAACATATCACCTATAGTGGTTTCATTAAATAAAATCTCGTATCTTACTTTGTTAAACAAATTGTTGAGCGGAAGATGGAGGGCCACCAAGGCTTTACCGGGCTCAGTTCTCCAACCAATTGACTCTACAATGGAAACAACCCAAATCCTCCTCAATCGTCTCTCCACTTGCGGTTGCTACAATTCACCCACTTAGGAGACCACACAGGAATGGTGAAAGCATAGAGAAAACAACCACAAAGGCTGTAAGATGAGTGAACAAAAATGGGCAGAGAAAACTCAAGAGAAGTAGCCGAATGTTTCACATAGAGAGAGAGAACGAAAAATAAAAAAAGAAGAAAATATAACCAACTGTATATGGATGGTTAAGGTAAATAGGGGTCGGGTAAATTAATGGGTCCAAAAGGCTCAACACATAGTTAAATGGGCCGCTAAGTGGATTTCCTTTATTTAGCCGTCCAAGAAAGTGAGACGCACCATGAGCAGCACTAATAAAATTAGGCTACTTCAAATGACCCACATAATTTTGGGGTCGAGTCGTTCCATTGAGGCATCGATATAACGTTTAGTCATTTGATCAATGCCGACCGAAAAGTAAACTGAGTTAACATCATAGTTCGAGGAGGTCGTTTGATAATAATTTGCTTAACAAACCTCCACCTTGGTATCAAAAGACCTGCAAAAAAAACATTAATACCTGTTAGTAATACTTCCAATATAATGGAACAATAAAGTTGGAAATTAGTTACCTTCACCAATATTTAGAAGATTCTTGCAACTTCTAAACTTTACCAACGACAGTGCTTTAGTGCCCATGTCCGAAGGATTATATTTTGTATGTATCTTTTCAAGTTTTACCACTCTTGTGACACAACGTCTCTAATGAAATGTAGTCTAATATCAATGTGCTTGGTGCGTTCATGAAAAACATGATTTTTACACAGATGTATAGAGGATTGACTATTTAAATATACTATCACATAATCATTTAGAACATAGAGTTCATGCAGCAAACATCTGAATCACAAAGCTTATTTAATTGTTTCAGTGATAGTAATATATTCTGATTCGGTGGTAGATAGTGCAACTATGTGTTGTAATTGTGACTTCCAGCGAACGTAAGAGTTAGATAGAGTAAACACATATAAAGAAGTAGATTTTCTATTATCTCTATCCAATTCATAGTACGCATCTTCAAAGCCTTTTAATTTCACACCTTATTTATTAACATCAAACTTTAGACCTACATCACTTGTTCTCTTTAAATACCTTAATATCCATTTTAAGGCTTCCCAGTGCTAAGGACTAGGATCAGACATGTACCTACTAACGATTTTGTTAATTTTTCTTGAATCCTTAAAATTGTGGTGGGATTAATCTCCTGAGTCCAATAGTAGATACAAAAACACATTGAATCCTTAATTTTTCTTCATGGAGGCAAAATTAACAAAATCGTTAGATGGAATGGGGTGGGAAATATATTAAATTACTATTTTGCCCTTCTAAAATTGAGTAATATGCAGTCAAAATTAATTTTTGGCCTCAAAATCACTTTTTTTAGGTCAACTAACTGTAAATTGGATAAATTCCATTCAAAAAGGCCTCAGATGCAATATTTTAAAATGTTTGAGGTGACGGCAATAACAATAAATGAAAGGTTAGAAGAAAGTTTGTTAGTGTTTAAAAGGTTTGGGATTTCTGCTACAATTATTCCTAAAAATATTAGTAGATAAATTTCATTTTACTAATAGAGTAAATATAGGGCTAATGATGTTTGTTTAAATATTATTAGAGTAAATAAAAGTTATGAATTGTGCTCTACACATGTTCAACATTCTCTTGACATGGACTTAAACATCTCCAATCCTGTGCCAAAATTTGAGGTAAGTTTTGCACTATTTTACATCAAATCTTGCACCAAACTGAAAATTATATCCAACGCATTACACCAAAATTTATACCAAATGAACAGTGTTTAATTATTTCTTCATTTTTTTTATTCTTAACAATTTATCTATTTGACAATTTTATTTATTTTACAACTACATAAATTACTAAATAAATAATTATATTAAATGAAAGAAAAATATTGAATTCACTAATAAATTTAAAAAACATAGTACAATTGATAGAATACCAATTATACCACAAATAAGAAAATATTAATTCGTATCATTAAAAAATAGTGCAATACATTTTGAATTTCGATATCATTATCGATTACATTATTAAAATTTATTACTAATAATAATAATAATTTATTATAATACAAAAATGGACACAAATAGCCTTAACCAAATTCTTTACAAAGTGAAAGAGATTGGCAATTTTTTTTAACCATTTTGCATTAAAATGTTGCAACACTACTCTTTGGTGCAATTTGGTGAAATCGTCCAACACTGGAGATGGTGTTACCCTCGCTTTCTAGTCTACTCTCAACATGGGTTTGACCTTATTGAGAAAATACCTCCTCGAAATATTTATTAATTAATATTGATTTTATTAGTTAAATATATTTATTATTTTTATAAGTGTCTCGATATTCAAAAAATAAAAAAACAGTTTTGAGAAAATTCATGGAAATTCATTTTCTATAAATCTTGTATAGTCATGAGCTGGGTGTGAAAATAACTTATTTCGAAATACCTTTTTGGATAATCTAGTTAAGTGCACTATACGAACATCTAACTTTGATTGACCAGAGACTTACTAATTGAGAATATTGAGACGCTAAAAGTGAACTCATCTGGATTTTAGACCTTCAGTGACAGTTAGTATTTATGCTTCTCGGCATTACAATATGATGAAGTGTTAGGAGCAAGGCCAGTGGGAAGAGGGTTGTCAACTTTTTTGCTTAAAGTTGAGTAATAGTAATAATTCAATTCATCATAAAAGCATCTTTAGGAAGTGTTCTAAAAGAAATAGCCTTACTCATAGAAAAAGTCGACTGCTTGACATCATACATGTTTCTTACATACAAAGAAGCAACTTAGATGTTGATTGGTTTGAAACACATTTTAGTTCATGTTAATTGAGTTGGTCACTTTACTCTCAATATATGATTGATCGAGTTGGATGGTTCATGTACACACATACACTACTACAATATCGTAATAGTGCCTTGAAGTCTAAACATTAAAGTGATGACGTGGATCAATCGATGCAGCACGCGTTAAATTTAAAATGGTTTGTTCTAAAATTAATGAACTATGATTTTACTCACAAAAAGTTTCTTTTTTTTTTTTTTTCACTTTAAAATTGTTTCCTAAAATTGTATCTTCATACTATGTTTATGTGTGCTGACTATGCGCTTCAAATCGCTTCAGTGTGTGCATGATATTCAGATTGAACAAAAGACTCGTGGTAAATTGTGCAGTTTGATTACTGAAGTATAATCCTAATCCCCAAATTTGTGTGAATCTTGTTATAAAATTTCTCAATTTTTTGCTTATTGATCTCCTTGTCCTCGTGATTTGTAGATCGGTGAATTAATAGCATGTGTGAGACTCGAACCGTAGTTGTATGCTTCCAGAATTTTATGATATTGGAAAGTCGTGTTTGTGAAACTGCAACTTTATTAAAATGACACTTTCAACTGGATGGAGACACGTGACTAAACCATGGCTGTTGGATTGAATCTGAAACCTTGTATTATTATCGTGCCATTTCATTTGGCACGCCATTACTCCCATATCGTGTCTGACTCTTGGTTCTTTGTGAGAGAGAGAAAAACCTCTCGTCTGGTTAGGGTTTCTTCTGCTCGATTCTTTGGCTCAAATCTCTAATTTGAGGCCTTAAACATGAAAGTCTTAGTGATTCGGTTAGATATTTTGAGTGATTATCTGTAATATCTTTTGTCCTCTTGAGTTCTGATGTTTTGAGAGGGATGCAGTGAAGTTTCTTTGTGATTCTTCGAAGGTGTTGAGTTGATCTGGAGAGATAAGTATCATTGCTTTATCTCGTTGTATTTGTTGAACATTTGTAACTCTTCGTTGCCATTTTTGGCTATTATAGTGCAACCGAGCGTAATCCAACTTGTTGGTTGCTCAACGGGGGATGTAGGCGTTAGATGTGGTCGTCGAACCTCCGGGGCTTAAGTCGAAAGAAATCTTGTGTTGATTCTTTAATTTTCTACACTGTTTACTTTTGGTCGATTTCGATTATCTTGCTTCTCGATTTACTATTGTGTGACCTTTGCCTTACAGTGGTATCAGAGCCACATTGAGGAGCACGATACCCGGATCTTGGAGAGAAAGGTGGATCTTCGATATATCTTGAATTTTTGGAACTGCTGAAAAGCAGATTTGAACTATTTCGAGTTATTAAACTCCCTGGGTGAGATCCTTTCAATTTACTGTATATTGCACTTGAGAAATTTGTGTTTCTTCAACTTTCCTAGATTTTTCAGTACACCGTTGAAAACCCCCTTGAGACTAATCTTTGTCCAGTGGCTCCTGTGAGGTCTCTGGAATCTGAGATAAATCAAGTACGGGTGTGTAACTTGGGAGAATCTTGCTGGAGGGATCTGTGAAACCTTATAATTTGATCTCAGTAATTGTTTTCTATTGATTGATCCAACCTACTCTTTCTGTTGATATTTTTTAAGACTAGTGAAATCTTGTATTACTTTGTGATTTACTGTGATTTCAAATCTGGCAACTTGAGGTTCATGTTTCAACTGTTCTGAATTCTTGCTAATCCTGTTTGTGATAACCTGCATGCATTATGGCTACTGCAAAATTTGAAGTGAGTCAATTTGATGGTAAAATTGATTTTGATATGTGGAGTCAGAAAATGAAAGCCATTTTGATGCAAATGAAATGTGCTAAGGCATTAGATGATTCATGGCCTGAGGGTTTAGCACCCAATAAGAAATCTGAACTTGAGGAAATTGCTTGGAGCACTATATTCTTGTACCTATCTGATAATGTGATCAGAGAAGTGGGTGAAACCACCACTGCCTCTAATCTTTGGGAAAAACTCAAGGCAAAATATGAGACTAAAACTACTCCAAATAAGTGTTTTCTTTTAAAGC